CGTGGTGGAAGTTGTCTCGTTTGATTTTAGCCTATTCAAACTCATTATGGACGACATAGCAAAGACAGATAATCGTTTTTGTTCATTAGGGTGTACTTTCAACACTGTGGAGTAGATATGATCAGCAATAAGATTCAGATGTACTACGAGTGTATTTCCCCCTCTTAAAGGAATCAAAAGGACCGATCCCTCACAAGAGAACATTTACGAGGACATTCTGGAAACCATTCCACCATCGGAAACCCACTTGTAGTTTTCTGTATATTTTTGTTTTAATATCAGTGCAGAAAAAAATGAAACGTGACTCATCGGACCACATCCCATGCTTTCAGTTATTCATTGTTTATTGCTTGCCGTTTAAGTATCACTGAAGCGATGTTTGGACTTTTTGTCAGCTGCTGTATGTCAGGTTTTACAATGTCCTTCAAATATTTTGCTTGCAGATAGTAGAATCCTAGTCAATGATGAAACAATCAATTTGCAAAGAGCCTAACGTCTGTTGTACTTTACGTCTCGGACATTTAGCTGACGTGTTTTCACCCATAATAGGAGACGCATTCCATTTTAATTGCCGCAATTTCTTGTAATAGATGTCTTTGACGAACTTATCAGGTGAATTATCTTAGGTAAACCACTTTAGCTATCATAATAGTTTCTTATAGTAGATGTTTTTGACGAACTTATCAGGAGAATTATCTTAGATAAACCACTTTAGCTATCATAATAGTTTCTTATAGTAGATGTCTTTGACGAACTTATCAGGAGAATTTTCTAAGATAAACCACTTTAGCTATCATAATAGTTTCTTATAGTAGATGTCTTTGACGAACTTATCAGGTAAATTATCTGAGATAAACCACTTTAGCTATCATAATAGTTTCTTATAGTAGATGTCTTTGACGAACTTATCAGGAGAATTTTCTAAGATAAACCACTTTAGATATCATAATAGTTTCTTATAGTAGATGTCTTTGACGAACTTATCAGGAGAATTATCTTAGATAAACCACTTTAGCTATCATAATAGTTTCTTATAGTAGATGTCTTTGACGAACTTATCAGGAGAATTATCTGAGATAAACCACTTTAGCTATCATAATAGTTTCTTATACTAGATGTTCTTGACGAACTTATCAGGAGAATTATCTGAGATAAACCACTTTAGCTATCATAATAGTTTCTTATACTAGATGTTCTTGACGAACTTATCAGGAGAATTATCTGAGATAAACCACTTTAGCTATCATAATAGTTTCTCATAGTAGATGTCTTTGAAGAACGTATCAGGAGAATTATCTTAGATAAATCACTTTAGCTATCATAATATTCTAGAACTTGGAAAAAGCATTGCTTTTAGAAAATGACTTGCAAATAAGCATGTTATAACTGTTTCTCTGCATTTAAATAACTCAGATACTCATATAGCGTATCACATGATCAATTTACTTTCCAGATGCAAATGAAAAAAACTTTACTAAAGTCATCACTCAATATAATTAGGCTTCAGATACCATTCTTCTTCCCCTTTAGAAATACAATACGTTTTGTTTTATAGCAATGGTTTATGAAAATATTAATTGTATGAATATCTGTAATTTCTTTGCTTAGAAGCAAAATTTGAACTGAGTAGCTTTTATTATAGATAGTTTCTGGTAAAAATAGAAAAGATTATAACGACTTGAACATTCTTCTAAAACACTCCAAACGTGAACACATTAAGGAAAAAAAAGTATTTTATCTTAAACTTGGTTTTTTTCCAGGGCAGCACAGAGATTAAACTTACAGTCCTCAAGGAAGAAGAAAAAGCACCATACTCTTGATAAGTCTGCTTATACAGCTTTATATCGAAGGAACTTCAGCGACGTCCTTCTGGCTACTCCACCACCACTTCCTCCTGGATATCTCAAAATATCCAGCAGGCGAGAGAGTCCTGGACTAGGAAAAGTAAGTAGCACTGAATAAAGAATGTTTAAAACATTTTATAGAAGTACGCTAAAGATGTGACTACGCTCAATAATATTGGCTTCTTAAAACTAAATTAAAACCGAATAACGATTAATTGTTTGTTCGTTATTAAGCACAAAGAGCTATCTGAGCTCTGCCCACCACGGGTATCGAAACCCGGTTTCTAGCGGTGTAAGTCCGCAGACATACCGCTGTGTCACTGGGGGGCATAACGATGAATAGTATAACATAAGCTAAAAGTAGAATAACTCAAAATAATCGGTTTATGTTTTACCCAAAATGAAAATTGTTACCATCATTTTTGTATATTTGTAAATCGTTTAACTACGTATGAAAAAATAATGTTTAAAACTTTATAGAAACAAATTAATCAAAGTGTAATTTTGAAGAGAATATATTTTTATTACTAAGTCAGTTAATTTTTATTGTAAAAAAAATTAACTCGCATAAATGACTGAAAAAAATCAGACTTACTTTCATGCACAAACCTCATGATTCAGACTACAAGGAAGGATTTAGGTTTGTTTGGAATTTCGCGCAAAACTACACGAGGGCTATCTGCGCTGGCCGTTCCTAATTTAGCAGTGAAAGAATAGAGGGCCCCTTAGTACTTTTAAAATTCGTGCACCCTTGGAATACACTAAAAGGCAGGTAATTCCTATTGAATAACAACCTATGGTTATAGAATAGATACTCTTTTTATAAAATAAAACTATTGATATTTCTTCCTTGTGCATGGCCCGGCATACCAGGTGGTTAGAGCGCTCGACTCCAAACATGATCGCTCTTTCAGCCGTGGGGGCGTTATAATGTGACGGTCAATTCTACTATTCGTTGGTAAAAGAGTAGCCCAAGAGTTGGCGGTGGGTGGTGATGACCAACTGCCTTTAATGCTTCGTATTTCTACATTGATTGTGACAATACCGTTATTCTCCGAAATACACAAACCTTTAAAACCTACTTGGAGAATTGTACATATTTATTCTACTTTGAATCTCCACTTTGGCTTTAAACTTGTCGAAATACATAAATATTGACACATCTAAACCTCTCACATGAAATCAAAAATCGAGCAGTTTGACCCAGATTTCTATAAAGAAAACCACAAACTATATTGTAACTTCGTATTAACATATAAGAACGAGGTTTTACTGCGTAACCTTACGAGTCTTTACACCACTATCTGTAGAGAGCCTGTTATATTTAAGGCCTGGCATGGCCAGGTGGTTAGGGCGCTCGACTCGCAAATTGAGGGTCGCGGGTTCGAATCCCCGTCACACCAAACATGCTCGCCCTTTCAGCCGTGGGGGTGTTATAATGTGACGGTCAATCCCACTATTCGTTGGTAAAAGAGTAGCACAAGAGTTGGCGGTGGGTGGTGATGACTAGCTGCCTTCCCTCTAGTTTTACACTGCTAAATTAGGGATGACTAGCGCAGATAGCCCTCGTGCAGGTTTGCGCAAAATTCACAAAACAAACAAACAAACTGTTATATTTAAACAAATTTATTATTCATTAGGTTTATTCCAGTGCTAACAACAAATCTTAATTACAAAGAGAAACAATGAAACAAAAAAAAATGTTTTAAACATTTAATCTCTGCAAACATAAATGGGCCATGCTATATCTGTCAATGAACGCTTGGAAACAGATCTTGGCTGCTCACTGGAGTCATAAAATGTAATAGGGCATATGTATATTGATCTTATGCATACGGAAATCTTATGGTTATGTACAATATATTCAGCGTGCTCTGCTGGATAAGTTTAGTACATTAAATAAACTTGTTTGCACCATTCCCTTCTAAGTAATTCGCAGCGATCATGCAAGGATTTAGGTTTAGTGTGGTGGGGGATTTAAAGTGCATGTAATTTTTCCGTCCTCGTTAGTAAATTAAGCCACATTTGCTAGTGACCTTGGAAATAAGTTACAATAAATGTATTTTATAAATTACCAAGATTACCTTACCGCTATGTCTGTATATAGATAACTCAATGTTACTCTCTTGATTAAGAACATAAAAACAATGTTATTGCTAACTGAAGTCTACGGTGATTCTAAAACTATTTTAAAAAGTTATACACACGCAATCACACATTTAAATATATATATATATATCAAAAAGGTAAAATAGCTTTTATACGTTGCACATTCTTTGATGTGTTAATATTTACATATTAATCATAGAGTTTTATGCGTTGCACATTCTTTGATGTGTTAATATTTACATTTTAATCATAGAGTTTTATACGTTGCACATTCTTTGATGTGTTAATATTTACATATTAATCATAGAGTTTTATACGTTGCACATTCTTTGATGTGTTAATATTTACATATTAATCATAGAGTTTTATACGTTGCACATTCTTTGATGTGTTAATATTTACATATTAATCATAGAGTTTTATGTAATATAATGTTTCAAAGACAATATTTTCATTGCTTGATTTCAGGATTTACATCTATGATATACAGGTAGCCAATACAACCAACAAACTGCGCTGTTTATTTATCAATAGCTGTACTCAATTCAGAATACTTATAGAACACCATTATCTAGAATAACGGAGTGAATAGATTTTTATATCCATCCATCTCTGCTATTATAGAATGTAATCTAACTACATGTAAATACAGGAGAAAACAGCAAACTAATTTGGTGTATTTCGAAATTCAAGTCGTGGCTAGCAAAACTGCTTGCCAAATTGTTTTACATCTAAGAAGAAACTTATTGCAGGCTATATTTGGTACATATATGTAAATTTTTCTTCTTATGATATGTTTCTGATAATTGGGATTTATAGTGTTGGTTCTATCCTTAATGAACAAAACGCAACGTACGTCTTGTGTTATGAATATATTTTTATTTTAAATTGTGTTTTCAAGCTATATAATAATAATATTTAGAGCGTGCCTACAAAAACGATAACTGTAGTTTAGAAGCCTGTATAAACGTCATGCAATATTAAAAGGTCATCCAGTAAAATAGTTTATGAATTGTCCACCATCTCTGGGCATTTTAAGTAAAAAAACTATTTGAAAATCGAAGGTATAATCTGTCATAAAATTTCCAACTTTTTCAAACATGTTTTTTTTTTCTATTTTAAAGTTTCTGTATTTGTATCTTTGTGTGTGTGTGTGTGTGTGTGTGTTTGATTGATCCAACTTGGAGTTCCAATCGTAAAATTCCCATTACGACAGAGCTGCTGTTTCTTCGTGTGCGAGTAATAGTTCTCGCTCTCTGCTATTTGTATTACTTGATGCTCCTTGAATACCATTAGGGAGTGTCTTTGGCTTCCTATTTGCAGTGGAAATGAGGCACAAAATGAAGAACATATATGACTGAAGAGGAGAAATTACAGAGTCCTTAGTCTAAAAATCGAAATGTCACGCAATCTTTGTGCCTCTGTGTTAAGATTGAAATATGAACTGAAGAACATTGCTCTACTAGGGATATGGGTAACCATTAGTTGAGTAAAAGTTTCTTTCTCTTTGATTAGATTAGAAATTCGTGTTCCTCGTGAGGGATCACATCTCTGAATATCTCATTTGATTAAACAACATAGGGTTGTTTCCGTTCCCGTGAAACTCAGATTTCTGGTACGTTTCTATAATAAGTTTAGCAGGAAAAAAAAACTAAATAAAATACTCATCAATATGATAAGAAATTGGTTTGCAGTTTTAGCAGACGTGTGTTTAATGAAGTTTGTATGTTTAACAAAATACATAAAATTTTAGTTTTCATAAAGTTGACGAAAATGTAAAACAAGTAGCTCAATTTCCCAAATGTACAAAAAAATAGTCATTTAGAATAATAAATAAACAGTTTGTTCTGATATCTTATAAGAAGCTTCTAATGCATACTTTCTACAATCTAGGTTGAGAAACATTAAATAATCTTCTTTTGTACACACAGTATGCATGTCGTGTTTATGTGAAAATCGAAATTGATAAGTCTAGGATCTGGATTGATGTATGTGCTAAAGCTAAAACTTGTAATTTTGTGTTACTAGCATATCCTATATTAATTCAACTTGTGGCTGTATACGTATGAATCTACTTCCAGCTAACACCTCCCACAGTTCTGGAGCAAGCAGGGCCAAACCAGGAAGGTGGACTCTGGGTGGTCTGCAGATGAGAGAAATCTAACTGTACCCGAATGTGGCACCTGCTTTTGTGTTCCATGACTCAAAGAATACGGGGGGGGCATCATGTTTCACTTTGTATTGTATAACTATATCTATGTGCAACTAACCCCTCCCATAGTTTTAGAGCTAACAGGAACTGGGGTGACTCGAATGGTGGTGTTCTTATCCATATGACGCAGCCCTTGCCCCTATATATGGGAATTAAAACACACCTGGAAGATTATCAAGGCATGACACGGATCCAAGAGGAAGTTTTTAGGATTGATGAACCTGAAGCTGGGATCAGATTTTGCGTTCCTAGTCCCCCCCCCCCATGGGATCTCGAGGGCGCCACGTTTGAAACACAAGAGCTCAGGCACCACAGGCAATTGTCCTAACGCGTTTATTTTTTTGAGTGCGGACCACCTCCCCCCTTGTAGTGCCGATAGAAGTTTGAAGTTGACATATATAATGAGTATGGAACCAACGCTAAGTATATACAAATATGTCAGATATTGTGTCTTGACAGTCTCCACGGTCAATAATTAATGGTCAATAATTAATGGACAGGTCAATAATTAATGCTTATGATACAGTTGGTTACTTTAGCCTTTTTTTGCTCTACATTTTAGATTTCAATCAGTGACAGATAAAATATCTAACTGAATGGAATACTTTGTTTGTTTCTGAAGGCTGATTGATATTTTTTTATTGAATACCAAATATATTTTATGCTGAATCAATGACCATTATATCAGACTTTCAAACCCCTATAAATCTGAATTACCCTTTAATTCATTTATAGTAAACATCGCTTGACACCATCCACAAAGTACTCAAATTTCTCACCAGGTTGTCATAAACACACGTGCATTCTCCAGCTCATTTATTGTGGAAATTTATAGCTGTTTGTGAATACATTATGAAGTTTCAGATGTTCTTGGACTTGTAATTTTGGTACATTGGCAAGCCATATTGTTAAGCCATCATCAATACACAAACATATGAACAGTAGTACATCTATGTGTATATGGTAAATACATCGATCAAGATATGTGTTAGGTGGGTGTACTTGCGCCTTATAAATACAGATATTTAGTTATATCATGGCCAGACACAAAGTAATGAGAGTAAGAACAAAGACCTTTCCAACTTCCAAAGGGGCATGACATTAGATGTTTATCTAGCAATAGCTTCTTTATTAAACACCATTCCTTTGACCAAGTGTTGAAAGGTGTTTGTTTTCAAAGTTGATAAACAGTTGTTATAGAGAAGTGAATACGTTTGCTTCTAGGAAAAGCTGGTTGCTAACCGCCGGTAATAACTTTAGGTGAAACATAACAAGGCAGTCTTGTAGCGTGCAACAAATGTCATACAATGTCTCAAATGATAAATTCCTTCAAGTGTTGTCAGAATTCAGTTATTCCCAACCATACTGCGTTGGAAACATTACAAATGTGTCATATGACAAGCACCAGTCTAAAAATCACTTATCTTGATATATAAGTAGGAAAGTACGGCTTCAGTGGGACTTAGAGCACAAGCTGTAGAAAATGAATCACTGAAACTTTGTGTTATCTGATGTCGTAAGTGGAATTTCATACACTTCTTTACTGAAGGAAGAGTAATAATGTAAAAAAGCATATTACATAATTCTACTTCAGTTGTTCAGATAATGCAGTTCGATGAAGGTGGAAGTAATCGTGAGAGTAACGTTCTTGTGTTAGTTTTTTTTTGACTCTGTGTTACTCTTTCAAGAAGAAAATAGCATTAATAGTGGACATTGTTGATGATCATGTCTACCTCTACAGACAATCATATCACAATGCACTGCTCTCATGTTGGTTGAAATTGGTTTAAAGTGCATGACAGTGTCATCATTCATCTTCAAAAAAATATCAATCGGCTCGGTTATACTTGTGACGAATATGAAGATTATACGTAATCATCTGCCCATGTCTGTAAACCAGTTTCAAGCCATACGCTTTGACGAATGGATTACAATTGAGCAAGACATATTTCAGAATCTTTTGGAATTTATAACATACTGAGTTCAGGCTTCTTTCGCGGTAAAAGACGGTCCCCTCATGATATTAATGGCGGGAATCTCCAAACATCGCCGGTCAATGTAGAAGCATTAACCACAAATTATAACACTCTTAGCTCATCTTCAATTGTCTAGTACAGGTCCTGCACGTTTCTGACCACAAGGTGTACAACATTAAATCTTGTAACACATTACATAAAATTTCAGTAAGTTATTCCTGAGACAGTATTTAAGTTCTTTGAGTGCAGCCCTTTTAACGTATGAATGATAAATATGCAAACAATCAAATTTTTTACACAACCAATCAAAGGTTTAACACAGTTACATTCAAATAAACGTCAAAATATCCAGATTAACATTAACACGTATATAACCATTTTAGAAGCTTTAGAATATTGAATTATTTTCATAATTTAAACACTTTTCAAGTTCTTAAAGCTCGTCTCTCTCTTTAATTTATCATTTTAAAAGGTTTCGAAAACATCCTTAAATTAATAATCACAGTTACATCTTAAGCAATTTTCGCTTCAGCAGAAACCGAGGTCCGATTAAATAGACTTAAATTAAGTATTAAACTTTAACTTTTAATAAATTAACTAAACATTTTACGAGATTTAACTTGTCAATTCTTAGATTTTGACATTTTCTAGACTGGAAACTCCCTTTTTTTCATTGGTTTTAAATAAATGTCCAAGTACAAATCCAATTAAAGCTACACTTGTTTTGTAGAACAACTAACGATAGATTTATCTTTCAAAATTAATACGATAAACACCAAACATTTGTACTTTCCCCCTGACAACAAATAATGTCACTGAATTTAGTATTCAGCTTTAACTGTTATCTTGAAAAGTCTATAACAATTTAGTTTTAATTTTTCTCAGTGATGAATCTTAGAATTACGACTGTGTCATTCAAAAATATCGCTTATTAAATCTCAAGGTTTGAAACAAATGTTACGAAAACACGTTGTGCATAACAGGTCCATTAATTTATATTCAAACCATGCAAGCATTTGATTTATTGTTACTTGTAAAGATTAAAGGCTGAGAGCCAAAATATCCTATTGTTGTGTATTTCATAAGCTACTTCTTTGCACTTACTTTAGTTTGGATGTGGTACTTGTTAATGTTTAATGTTTCTGTCAGTTTGTTCAGTTACTTATATAGATTCCGGAAGACCCTGTCACAAAAACTATACATTCTAACTGCCTACCCCATACTGTCAGCCAATGGTTCATTATGAATACTAGATATCACATAGTGTTATTGACTAAATGTCTTGTGAGCATATTTAGAACAAAAGCCACATTCAGTGTAATTCAACTTCCCCTCATTACAAGCAACGGTTATTACTTCCTACCTTGTCTTGAAACATTTCAAACATTGGTTAATTAACATGTTCCTTTTATAGTACACAGTACATGCCATAACGCTTTGCAGTATCAGATAAAAATTGGAACAGTTAATGATCCGGAAAACTGTTTTAATGGCAAGTTTTAAAATATCCCACGTATTACAAAGTGTTTTATACATTAGTGGCTTTGTGATATGTTTTTGTTACAATATTAAAACAGTTTATTCACAAATGTAAAATAGTTAAATATTTGGAATGTGTCACTAAAATATCTGGACTGCTATCACAAGTTCAATGTTTGTATGAGATGACGCTATTTCAAAAGACGTAGGTATAGTAGAAATTAATTAACACTTGATTTTTAGACATGAAGTTCCTAGTAGAGCAAAAATTGATTCCTCTCATTGTTAGAAATGTTTGTATCAAGTTTGATTGTAAAGTTATTGCCAATCTGTTAATCCACATTTTACAACATTACCTGGTTCGATTCTTACGCTGCCAATCTGCTGAAGCACTTACAGATTTTCAGACTCAATAAATTATAATCTAATATCTCATAATTAACCACTGCCTCTAGTGCTTTCCTACCAAATGCTTCCTGATTATAACAGTGTCAAAGACACTATATCTAAATCAATTTTTCGCTTATTACTAGATATGGAATTTTATCTATAACTTCTATGATCGATTTTCTTAAAACAAAAGAATTACATATATGTGTCCTTGTTTTGTCAATCTGTATTCCACTGCTAGGAACCTAGAAGTGGAATAAATATCCACTAATACTAGGAACCTAGAAGTGGAATACAAAATCCATTAACATTTGGAACCTAGAAGTGGAATACATAATCCACTATTAGTGGGAACTTAACATTAGTGTATTTTATTCCACTTCTAGGTTCCAGTATTAGTGGATTTTTTTTACATTTCTAGGTTCCTAGCATTAGTGGATTTTTATTCCACTTCTAGGTTCCTAGCATTAGTGGATTTCATTCCACTTCTAGGTTCCCAGTATTAGTGGATTTTTATTCCACTTCTAGGTTCCTAGTATTTGTGGATTTTGTATTTAACTTATCCTGACTTCGAGTTCAAGACTGCGATCTGGCATAAGCCAGTGTTCCTCGAGATTTCACTCAAAATTGCAACTAGCCAGACATCTCGAATCAAGATCACTACCATTCCCACGCTAACAGTTTTATCTTCTGGTTTCAAACATTTTATTTGAAACTCCAGCTGGATATCACAAGGAATACGCTAATGATGAAAACAATTATCCTTACTTTTCTGCTGTTGAAAGTAAAATTTTAGTTACTGTCTGCAAAAACATTTTATTTGATTTATAACTGAAAACTTTAAGGAGTTTATTTAAAAGTTAATAGAACATTTGTTCAAAGACAAAAGACTGCTCGTCCGGGTCTGCTTCAGTAGTACCTTAAATATAAAGTGACTTAACTAATGTTTTATTTATGACTAGGTCAAGGTCATGCTACGGATCAGTAATGCAGGTGGCGCTGCAAGCTGTTTAACAGTTGACTCCAGAAAGAAGCAAGTCGCTGTCTATGATTCTTCTGCCCATTCAACACAAAGTGCAACATCTTCTTCTGCCACCAAGCAAGCAGGCGTCAATGCCCCTAAAATGTTTGCTTTCGATGCTGTGTTTACTCCAGAAAACAGTCAGGTAGGCTTACGAAATATGTTGCATTAGTTAATTCATCACATGGATCTGCCCTTATAAAAGAAATACAGATAATGGATCAGAAAGTAGTCTGTTGTAAGATATATGATTTCTTACATATATTAAAATCATAATTTTTAGTTTTTGAAGGGGAAGAACTTTGTATCTTAAGAAGTGTGTACAAAAAGACAACAGTAAGCACGTTATATGGTTTCTAGTATATTAATTACCCTAAGGAATTTAATATTGCTCCATTTTTACAAATTCATATTTTTATGTTAAGCGTTTCACGAAAACTAGAAGCATAATATCAGTTCCAAAATTATAGGATTTGTTTAAATCCAAGGAAAAAATAAATGTGGTTTTACGCTTACCCAAACAGAAAAAAACAAAACTAAAACCTTATCAGCTTATCAGTTCTATTCATTCACAGTACCGTGAATTGTCATTTGTTTTAAAGAAGTTCTATTCTGAAAGTAATGTTATCAACTTTAGACAGAGGTTTGTACTACTACTTTGATGGATGTGCTGCACGCTGTTGTTAGCGGTACGGACGGATGTGTGTTCTCGTATGGCTACCCTGGACTCGGTAAGTAAATACTTTTATGAAACTCAATACCATACATTGCTAAGTACCTGTTGTGCTGCGCTTAGTAACTGTATATTTATGGATTTAGAACTCTCTTTTTTTTTTCGGTACTTTCGAACGAGACTAGAAAATATTCTTTGTTTCAAGACACATCATTATCAAAATTATGTTGTTTATAATGAGCAGCCGCAACAAGAAGAGCAACAGTTTTTCAGTCAACTGTGAAATTGGAAAGCTTCACCGCTACATCAGAATCTTGGAACTTCTATATCACAAAGCATCGAAAATGTGCAAAAAATATTTGTAAGTGAATCGTATAAACTACACGTTTTATGGATAATTGCTATACATTCAGGCCTGGCATGGATAAGGCGCTCGACTCGCAATCTGAGGTTTGCGGGTTCGAATCCCCATCCCACCAAACATGCTCGCCTTTTCAGCCGCGGGGCGTTATAATTTGACGGTCAATCCCATTATTCGTTGATAAAAGAGTAGCCCAAAAGTTGGCGATGGGTGGTGATGACTAGCTGCCTTCTCTCTAGACTTACATTGCTAAAATAGGGACGACTACCGCAGATAGCCCTCGTGTAGCTTTGCGCGAAATTCAAAAACAAATAAACAAACAAGCTATACATCCCCGAGCATATTTATATTGTAAATAAAGGATGTAATGTAAGCACGTTTATAGTTGATTGTAAATAGAACAATTGTTGTGTTTTATCCTCAGCATGTTTATTCCTATTTTTTCATACAAGCCTGGCCCATAGGTTAGCGTGACAGACTGTGAATCTGCGGGTCAATGTTTCACCCATAAACAAAAATAATACCTTCAATTTGGAGCCATGAATTACATTTTAATCGTAACAATTTAATACCACTATTCAGACAAAAGTAGTCCAATAATTGGTGGTTGGTGCTGCCTTCTTTCTAGTTTATTAGTTCAAAGTAAGGGACAACTACCGCAGACGGTCCTTGTGTGGAGCCCCCAGTGGCACAGTGGTATATCTGCGAAGTTATAACGCTAGAATCCGTTTTTCGATACCCTTGGTGGGCAGAGCACACATAGCCCATTGTGTAGCTTTGTGCTTAATTACAAACAAACAAACAAACCTTGTGTGGCTTTTCGTGAATATTAAGTTACAAACAAAAAAAAAAGGTTAACATCCGTGTCCTATTAACTCGTACTTAACCAAATATAACATTGTTGCTTGTTTTAAGTTTTATTTACCATTTATCAATTGCTTATTTTTATCCAAAAATAGAACTTCCCATGTTGAGATTCACGAAGGGAAATATACGTGATAACAAATCAAAAGAAGTAAAATAAAAAAAGATCAAAGAACACCTTAAAAGCGCCAAATCATCTTGTTTCATAAAGGCACGCTTCGACTTTATTTGAAGTTGCCTTATCTAATGTATAATTTAAGTTCTCCGCAACCATATTTATGTCGAAGATATCAATAGAATTATTGATGAAGTCACACGCGAGCATTCACAAAGCATCTCAAATACGGAGTTCGTTTTCTTCAACAAAGGCGATCATAACGTAAAAAATACTTTAATGTTATCTATAAAAAAATAGAATACGGTTAATTTTTGAATTGGGCTCCTTTAATCGTAATGGCATTTTAATAAACAAACATTTTAATATCTTATAGGCCTAACCACTACCTAAAATCTTTATATAATAATAAAGTTTGAACTGATTATTATAATTATATTAACACATTTTAAATTTCACTATACCCTTTAAATGTTTTCTCCTTTTTAAATTGGTGAAATCTTTAATCTAAAAATCAACTTCCTATTTCGTACATAACAACTAAAGCATAAACGGAACTTATAATATCATAGCTATGGCAAGACCAACTCATTATTATAAAATACCTCACTTCAGGGGAGACACATCGGACGAACGCAAACCTCTTGGCTTCAATGGGTTTATTTTACTCATAGCAAAAATTAAGTACTTCATTCGTAAACAAATACAAACGAAACGGTCCAATAGGGCAATGACACATGGAGAAACGTTTATTTTTACGGATTAGTCTCGCTTCATTCTGCAGACAGATAACAAACCTGTACTTGTTTGAAAGTATATTGAACCCCTTTTTTATACTAAAACATGACACACCTGGTGGTTGTGGGAGAGAATGGTGGAGACAGGAAATAAGCATTGATGAACGTATTGACCCCCATTTTACAAAACAGTATCACTAGTACCACACATTATAGGACCACATCCTATGAACCTTTACACTCACATATAAGATTCCCCAAGGGAAGTATACGTAATAACAAATGAAAGAAGTAAATACTACTATGTATCAAAAAAGCTGGCTTGAAGCATACGGGAAATAACCAGAAGAAGAAACGAAAAGTAAAAACTACTACCCATGTAACAAGAAAATACAAGTTAAACTTTGTCCAGTTTTGTCTTTTCTATGGGGGAGCTGAGTTTTGTTTGTTTAATTTTGTTATACAGTATAATTGGTTTACACGCAACATTATACTCAGTGCATGAAAGCCTACCTTCAGGGGTTGCAAAGTTGTTTCATTAAAAAGATGAACGAAATTAATATGTAGTATTTTGAAAACTTAGATTTTTTCTAGAGATGTGGAACAAAGGTATCAGAATTTAACAGATGTGTCAAACGTATGGTGAGTAAGCAATAAGGCAGAAATTAAGACCTGGTTACTGCTACACCTGCTAGTGGATAGCTACTTATAGAGTCACAGATAAGTACTACTGTAATTAAACTTGGGATTTTGAGATTATGATACTGAGACAAGTTTTATTTTGATGTTTTTAAAGGTAACCCAGTATGCGTTTGTTCCTTGTTATACCTGTGAACCAGATTACAGTGACAAGATCGCTTTAGCCATTATCCAGTTCTTTACGCATGAAGGTGTCAAAAGAGTTTCTGAAGTTTTACTGTGGTATATAAATCTGCCTGGTGTCTGCAGCTAAGTGATATTTTTATATCGTAAATGTAAAGTTCTTACACACAGCGTCACACTGATGAGTTAAAGGTGGCACCACTGTATGGTTGGTTGTTGATTTCACCAATTACCACCTTACATTGAAAATTAAACTCCTGACCTATCCCAATATAAGTGGACCAGTAGCAATATAAGTGGATCTGGTTTCACTTTACATAGGGCCAAATAATGATTGAGTTAGTCACTTGTTTTTCATTCATCAATTGTGCTGTTAAAAGACAGAGATTTAGAAACACCAAACTTTACCATAGAAAGTACCTTAGATTATATTTTAGCCCAATAGTAAAGCTGGAGTGTTTAGTGAAAATATCACTGTCCATCAAATTCGTTTATACTAATGCAACTATAAGAATGAAAGTGGACTGACCTCTATCAGTTCTCATTTTCAGGATACCCCCATGATTAAACGATGAGTGAGGATAAGATGCTGAAAGAGAGGGCCATTGTTGATCATTAAAAGGTGTGCCGAAAGTTGGTGAAGCTAGAGTTCTTTTCTTCGGTGGATCAGGTTCCTCATTTTTGACTACCAACAATAACCATAAGCCAACTATCCCAGATGCCAAGACCACCTCACATCTGCCAAAATACAATACATTTCACACATAAGTCTGTGTCTATTGGAAGAACATTAGGAGAAAAAGTACTATCAACAGGACCATGGACTGAAAAAAAAACTATCAATTTTCTGAACTGCTGAGTAGGAGACTAACAACTTACATAAAACGTTTGCCAAGATACTCCACCTGAAAAAGAAGGTCGAATCAATTAACAACATGGTATCTGGTGACCTCCAACGTGACAAAGGCCATATCATTTATGCTAATCAGATGGCCAGGAGCATACAGAGCATCTACTAACATTTCCAGATGTTTTAGTTTCATTACCAAAACACTCAAAGGAGGGAGTCAAAAGAAGCAACGAGTTTTGTGTGCACGAAGTCCATTTTGTACGTTGACATCCAGTATTTCCCATGATGTTCCATGACCTCAAAGTTCATTCAAACCGAGAAGATAATTTTTTGTTACAGTGAGAAAGGTCATGTTTTAAAATAGGTTGCACTTAAACATAAATTAAAGTTGGTAAAAAAAAGGGTATGTTTGTTTTAGAGCTATGTGTTATTGGCTATGTGGTGAAAGAAAAGGGAGCAATGGTATGCAAATACTAAACACTCCACTGTCTTATATTATGTATAGTAACAATTTTAAAATTGCTTTGAGCTAAAGTTCAGAATCATATATATATACCCTATTTTAACCAAGTATAATATTAGTCCTAGTTGTCTCATGGAACGAACAGTTGTATTATATCCCTAACCCCAATGTGAGTTTAATGTGCGACTATCAAATGAAGCATAAATATTTCAGGATTCTTATGGACCCCTTTAATTGGTTTGCTATATATAAATAACGTAAATCGTAGTGTAGTTTCGATTTGTTTTTCAACTCTGAATAAGCCTGTGGAGTCTTGTCTATATTTCGAGTACAAACAGTCTAAGTTTGTTTCAAGATTTGATTTTACTTCCATTAAAGTACGTTTTCCTCAAGTTCCAACCAGCTCAGTTTGTTGTTGTTTCTATCAAATTGCATGACCAATGATTGTTTCACAGTGTTCTCATGTACTAAAGCTGTTGCCTTTACTTGTGTGCACACCGAATCTTGTCCTTTTCATTCAACGAAAGACAAATCACGACAATTATTCATAACCATCTAGGTCCTCGAATTTTCTTCTAACGAAGATGAAATGCTTGTGAGTTTCCGTTATTTCAAGTTTTAAAACACCACAGTAGTATATGCATTTCTGTTCAGTTGTATGTGTGCACCATGATGTTTTATGGGCATCATACTGGATTGACTGTAGTGATTAAAACTCACACAATAATTCTCAACCAAATACGTGGACCTATCTATATAAAAGTCTGAAGTTATTGTACATGAGGTTTCCTTGATGTAGCAACATATATTTCAGAAAGTAAGTAAGCTGAGCTTATTGGTTTGTTT